TCAAGGATGTGAAACAGTTTCAGAGACTTGTAGGGAGATTGTTATATCTTTCTATGACCCGCCCAGACATTGCTTATGTTGTTGGTGTCCTTAGCCAGTTCATACATGCACCTAGGTCCACTCATTTTGAAGCAGCAGAAAGAATCCTCCGATATCTAAAAAGGTTTCTTGGTGCTGGCTTGTTATTTCAAAGACACGGACGGGCATTTGAAAGTTGAAGTGTATACAGATGCAGATTGGGTTGGATCTCAAAATGACAGAAAGTCTACTAGTGGCTACTGCACCTTTATAGGAGGGAACCTTGTTACCTGGAGAAGTAAGAAGCAAAATGTGGTGGCTAGATCTAGTGCTGAAGCTGAATATCGTGCAATGGCTCACGGAGTAGCTAAAAGTATGTGGATAAAGAATCTGTTGGGTGAGTTGGGTTTCTCAGTGGACAAGCCTATKACTCTATTCTGTGATAACAAAGCAACCATAAAAATTGCTGCTAACCTAGTGCTACATGATAGAACAAAACACATCGAAGTTGACAAGCATTTTATCAGAGAGAAAGTCATCACAGGCAAAGTGTGTACTCCCTATGTCAGCTCTGAGAACCAATTTGCAGACATCTTTACAAAAGGACTACACCACTCAAGACATCATGATCTTTGTGACAAGTTGGGCATGATTGATATCTATGCTCCAACTTGAGGGGGAGTGTTGACAAATGTTGTTGTATATATGTTTGGTACCGCAAGGGTACTTTTGTAATCTCTTCATTCTTTAAGTTGTACGGCCATCCTAGTATAAATAATAACATACTGCACGCCTGCAGTATTCTTTTTGGGCTCTCAGTCCTCTTGCCTCTCCTCTCTCCCTTTCTCTTGTTCAACAATAAGCAAGTGTATATGGTTCAGCCTCCCGGGTTTCAAGTGCAAGGTAGCGAGGACAAAGCTTGTCGGTTGAAAAAGTCCTTATATGGATTGAAACAATCCCCTCGGGCTTGGTTTGAGAGGTTTAATTGTGTTGTCCATCAGATTGGTTTTGAGTAGTGCCAGGCTGATCATATGTTGTTTGTGAAAAGAAAAGGTGAATTGGTTGCAATTCTGATTGTGTATGTGGATAATATTGTAATCACAGGAAACTGAGAGGAAGAGATTCAAGAACTGAAGAAATTCTTAGTTTCACAGTTTGAAGTTAAAGATCTCTATTCTTTGAAATATTTTCTTGGCATTGGAGTTGCTTGATCTGACAAGGGTATCTTTATCGTGTTCGGATCTCCTGCCCACACAAACTCTGCCCACGTCTACCCACATAACATCGTAGCCACACATGGAGAACATCTCATCCTCCTGCATGGTATTATGCAGGGGGAGATGTTCCCAATTCACAAGGGTAGTGTGTTGTGAGTAGACGTGGGCAGGTGATCCGAAGTCATCTTTATCTCCCAACGGATGTATATTCTTGATTTGTTGAAGGACACAGGTAAGCTAGGATGTAAACAAGCTGACTCTCTAATGGATCCAAGTCATAAACTTGGAAGTTGTGAGGAGGAGATAGTTTCAGATGTTCATCAATATCAAAGACTCATTTGAAGGCTGTTATATCTTTCCATAACAAGACCAGATTTTACCTTTGTTGTAAGTGTTCTGAGTCAGTATATGCACTCACCTAAACCTACTCATTTCAAGGCTGCTGAGAGAGTTCTAGCCTATCTAAAAAGACACCCAGGTAGGGGTCTCCTCTTCACTAGACACGGTCATATGAGGGTGGAAGGATACACATATTCTGATTGGGATGGCTCTATTGATGATAGGAGATCTATACTGGTTATTGTACCTTTGTAGGAGGAAATCTTGTCACTTGGAGAAGTAAGAAACAGTCCGTAGTGGCAAAGTCAATTGCAGAAACCGAGTATAGAGCTATGTCTCAGGGTGTTGGTGAATAGGTGGGTGGCACCCTTATATTTATTTATAACACGATAGCGAAATAAGAAAGAGGAATTATAATAATGCTCTGGCACACTAACAAAAAATATCAAAAGAGGATACTGACAGAATGAAAATGAATTTATTTCCATTGGTTTGCAGAATGAAAATGTAAGTGGAAAATGGGCCCACCTTCCGTAATCTATCTATCTGTGCTTGATGGGGTCAGTTCTTTATATTGGTTATAATTTGGTGGGTTAGTTCAATTGGTAAGGTTGATAGACCCATCTCATGACTGGAGTCAGGGACAGTGATTTCTCATGTTTTGAAAATTTGAAGAATAATAAAAGGAGAAAGAGTCTTACCATCTATTTTAATGGCCTGATGTTTTGATAAGTATTTTTAAGAAACCACTAGGATACTTTAAGGTCATTTCTGAAACTAAGGGTGGTCTGAGTATTTGTCTGAATCCACAGGTGGAGTTTAAGTATTTAACCCAAAAAAAAAAAAAAAATTCTTTGCTAGTATACACACACACACATGAACATACATCTAAATTTGTATGTGCATATGTATACACAGAAAACAAGCACATGATTGAAAAAATGCAAGGCATAGAGGGAAAGGGAATACCACAATTTTATTCATTATGATATACTATGCATTATTCTGCCAGGTTTTGGTCTCTTTCTAGGTGGCTTAAAATCAGTTATTGGAAGTCTTAATACAAATGAAATTATCAAAAGCTGCATGATTACCTTATCTAGTTCTAGGTAGGGTTAGATGCATGTTTATTTTAGACACCTGAAGGATTCTGTTGGTACTTGATAAAGTTGGTTCACCTATATACCATCAGTTGTGTTGCACTATCAATATTATGGTTATGGTAAGTTCCATTTCTAAATCCATAACAAAGAGAGGGGGGCTAATTATACACTAGTGGCCCTAATCTCTGTTATTATGCAAAAACTACAATTCTGGTCAAAATAAATTCATATGATAGCTATACAAAGCACAGGATAGAGGTGTTTAAATTGAATTTGTTGTTTAAATTGAATTTGTTGATTAAATTTAAATAAATATATTAATTAGAAAGCCAAAAGAAGAAAAAGTAAAGAAATAACCTAAAGAATGACTAAATGATGCAAGGTTGCAACAATCATGCTATCATACAAATCATGCTTTTCTGATGCAGATTGCTGGGAAAATAAACAGACTCATCAGGGAACTGGGGCTTCGAGACCTTGGACAATTGGAGCAGGACCTAGTCTTTGGAGATGCAGGAGCAAAGGAAGTGATCAATTTTCTGAGGACAAATCAGGTGATATATCGAGTTTAATGAAAATTGATGCACTTTACTAATTACTACTAACCATACATTGTTCAGGGATGGTTGATAACTTGAATGTATTGGCAATGCAGGATGCTACCCCAGAAAATAAGTTGCGGTTATTAATGATATATTCAATTGTTTATCCAGAGAAATTTGAAGCTGACAAAGGTGTAAAATTGATGCAGGCAAGTCCCTTTGCTATTATTTCCCAATTGGTCTGCAATTTCTGAATCCTTTTTGGGTGCAAAAGGCCATTGCCAAGTGCTAGTCCCAGATATCTAGGATCTTGGGAGGGGTAGACTTGGCATGGTCCTAACCTTTAGCATCTATAGTGCAAAATAGCTGCTGCTCAGACTTGAATTTTTATCATTACGTTTGTCAACCTGGATTTTACCATCACCAATCAATGGCCTCTCTAGAAAAGACTGGTGCTAAAATGGTATTATATTGTATGAAAAGTAAATTTCAACTTGTATCTAGGATTTCAGAATATAAAAGATAAGCAAAAGAAGTATGTACAGGGTAAGATAAGAGGATTTTGTGTGTTTTCCGAACTGCTTCTTGGATTGAAATCGACCTTGTCATTTACACAGCTTAGCATGTGAGATAATTTGAGCCTTTGCCAAATCCCTGTGATATTTGATCATGTTGGCAATTGTCTATATCCTTGCCAATACACTTTCCACACATTTAATGGGATTGACTAAGTCCTTGGCCTCTAAAGGCCATTGAATTTTGTCTTTGATCATCCAGATCTCGTTGTTGGCTCTATCATGAATTAGAGGTAAATCTGAAAGGAGGAAACTAGTAAAACTTAAAAAACGACCTAATAGTAGAAGATGGAATTTAGATGAAAGGACTAATGATGTGTGTCTTGAAATGACCAACTGTATGAAGAAAAGTACCAAAACGGTTTTAAGAGAATCTAGAGGTAAATCTGAAAGGAGGAAACTAGTAAAACTTAAAAAACGACCTAATAGTAGAAGATGGAATTTAGATGAAAGGACTAATGATGTGTGTCTTGAAATGACCAACTGTATGAAAAAAAGTACCAAAACGGTTTTAAGAGAATCTAGAGGAAAATGTCAAGGCTCTAAAGAAACTTGGTGGTGGAATAATAAGGTTTAAACATAAGTAAAGCAAAACAGAAAACTTAAAAATATTAAAAAAAAAAAACAGAAAAGTAAGTTAAAAGGAGAGTAAAGATAAATTTAAGGCATGTGATGTACTCCATCATAAACTAGTTACTTAATAGAGAGAGAGAGAGAATGGAATTTATAAAATTGCAACTATGAGAGAGAAAATGTGGAGATTTATACCATGTTAGATGCATCGATGAAGAAGATCATATAGCCTTGGTAAACGATAATGGAATCAAGAAAAGATAGAGAAGCTATTTTCTAAAATTACTAAGTAATGAATATATGGAGGGTTCTTACTGATAATTAAAATTTCTGTTCTTTTAAACATATTTTTGTAACAAGTTACTTATTAAATAGGCTGCAAGCCTAGCATTACCAGAATCATGTCTGATACTTATCAGAGACAATACAAGATACTGCATGAATACTTCTAGATGTAATCTATGGCATTAACAAATTAAGATATGTAAAGTGGTATGTTTTAACAAGTTATTCTATAAAAATATTTCCACTTGTTATAAATTTAATTAAAATATTTGCACATGTTGGATATTGACTACCATTAATAATTTTTTCCTGAAAAGTAATGTATTATACATATATATAAGTCAAACCAAATCAGATTGCACTGAATCAGATAAGTGGATCCATACTCAATCCAATTATGAATGAATCAAGTTTGTTTTACCCTTAATTTGATCAAATTCAAATTCAAATTTGGAACGAATAATGTTTGTATCCATATCTTTATCATGTCCACATGAATATTTAAATTTGCTAAATTCTATAAATAAATAATGCTGAACGGAAAATTATCTTTTTCTGCCATATTAATAATTTTGGTTAGAACTTACAAGAAGCTACCACAAGAAAAAACAAATTGGTTTTAATTTTAAATGCATCCTTCAAAAGGCCATATTTTTCTAGCCTTGAAATTTTATTATTATTATTATTATTATTATTATTATTATTATTATTATTATTTTTAATTGTTACATGCAAATGCATGTACTCTTTTACTGCTTGGTAATAAAATGAGGGTCTAGAAGAGCTGGGGGTAGACCAAAAAGGACATCAGATGAAGTAATGAGAAATGATTTAAGAGCCCATAATCTAACAATGGATATGATGCTGAACAGAGCGGAATGGCAGAGCAGGATTCATGTAGTTGACCTTATATAGTTGGGACAAGGCTTAGTTGAGTTGAGTTGAGTTGAGATGCATCTCAATTCAATGTTGTTTTCAACCATATTTTAGTCATCAGTCCCTCAAAATAGAGTGTGTACCCTGCAAAGAACAAATTTACAAGAACATTTCTTGTAGTCATTGCTTTTTAAAAGTTTGAAGTAAAAAAAAAAAAATACATTTATAGTTACAACAATTATTTTCGTTTTCTTGTATATGTTTTTCCTTATTGAAAGTTTCCATTACCTATCAAAAATTTGTAAAATCGAAATTATATTTCACATTGATTTAAGTGATTAGATTGAAAAGAAAACAGCAATAAAAGAGTTGATTTCTCACAAGAAATTGATAAGAAAAGGAAGAAGGAAGAATACAGCAATAAGAAGAGAAGAAAGATGGAGAAAGGATGGAGGAGAGGAGTTATCGTATCACTCCAGCCTCCCTTAGTCACTTTTATTAATTCTGTTATTAACAAATGGTGGAATTGCATAGATGCCCTTAATAGGGCATACGACTCATGAAACATAAATAAGTAAGAATAGGAGGCTCATATACTTAAAGCACATTAAGAAAAGACAACTAATAACAGAACAAATAATAAAGAACACTAAGGCCCATCTGGCCCAATATCTCTACATGACTGATGAGTCTAATTACCATCTTTGATGCGTTTATGTGAAATACCTAGCATTATCTAACAAGTTGGGGGACTTATTTTGTTATAAGAGTTCAAATATATGTGACACTTGTACATGTTTGGTGATATGTCCCATTTGACCCAATCCACTGGTAGAAGTTCCTTCTACTGTTAGTGGGATTCTTATCAAATTGTGCCTTATTAAAAATATCATGCTAATATGACTATAGGTATCAGATATTTTAACATTCATGTTTCTATTTTGTTTGTATGTTATTCTGGAACTCTATAAATTGATGAACCGGGTTGGAACACAATAAAAATTTAGAACACAGGAAATGAACTTGATTTAAAAGCATAATTAGATGCAGACATACATTTTAGTATCTAATAATATATAAAAAAATTCCTAACAGGTTATTCATTAGTAGACATTGAGGAATGTTTGTTGTAAACCATTTAACCAAGTTGGTTCCCCAAATAAAACTAAATAACATAAGTTATTTTTCATAATGGGACCTGTTATATCAACAACATTTCGGGATCCTAGGGTTTGCCATGGATTTTGGATCTCCTACCCAGGGAAACCAGGAATATGTGGCAAATATAGTGATATTTGAATATGTTATTACTCATATTTACTACTAAAAGCATATAAGGACCTTTGTCAGCCTTACAGTTTAGAAGAAACTAGGTGTTGGCAAAATTAAATTCCATGATATAGGTAATGACTTTCAGTAGTACTTACATTACTTATACCTATTTCTCAGTTAGTAATACTATCATAATTGATCTTTACATGCAAACTATTATGAAAACTATCCCTTTTTCTTCATTCCAGTTAGCAAAATTGTCACCTGATGATATGAAAGCTGTGAATAATATGAGATTACTTGAGCGACAATCAGATGCCAAAAAGGCCTCAATGGGGGGATTCTCTCTCAAATTTGACGCTCAAAAGGTAAATATAGTAATAGTGAAAATGCTTCATCCAAAATTGGGCACCTGACTATATATAGGATCTGAATCTGATTTTGATTATTTGTGTTCTTTGGTTGATTATCAGAAGAAGAATGCAGCTAGAAAGGATCGAACTGGTGAAGAAGAAGCGTGGCAACTATCAAGGTTTTACCCTATGATAGAGGTATACTTTAGATCAGGTTTATCAGTTTATGGCCTCTTTCCATCAGTTGCTTATGCCATTTAATCACATTTTTCTTGTTTTCTCTTAAATTTTATCTGCATTCCCTCATAGTTGGTATTTGGAATAGATATAGATATTCATAATGTGTACTGAAAGTAGTGGGATTAGCTAGCATTATTTTGATCATTTGTTATATGAACCTTGTCAATACCATATTCGGGTTACATAGTCATGTCTGTTATTCATTTCCAGGCTGGAAAAGTGGGAAAAAAACCTAAGAGTAAGAATTCTAGAGACATCTTAATTGGTTACTTAAAATTTTTCATTTAAGAAGGGAAGTATGTAGAATTTATTCATTTATATGTCTTCTCCATCTTCGCATTATACTTTTAATTTATTGATAAGCTTATGGTTGATCATGTTTCTTTTGTATCATAGTGTGGTGAAGACTCATGAGGTTTGCTATGGGTGAATAATGTATTAGGGCCCAGAAAATATGATTGAAGATATAGATATCTGTGGTCAAGTCTGATTAAAAATCAGTATGATGTGGCATGAATTTTCTGTAAGAGGCATGATCATGGTTTGATATTTCACTATCCTGAGAAATTTTGCTCCAAGGAAGTGTGGACATGTTCTTTTGAAATATTAAAAAAAACTGAGAATTTAGGGAAATTTAGGAAAAAAATTAAGGGTCAAACTTAAAAGGAACATAGCATGCCTTCAATTGAATGAAATATGAAAGTTGGACGAAAAATGAAAATTTTGGTCTAACTATAGAAGTTTTATGATGTTTATTTTAATGTTGATAAATGATTTCCTTAGATGATGATGACGATGATGATATATGATTTTTATTTTTTTAAGAGAGAGCCAAGAATCAAGGAGGTCTATTGAATGGATTTGAATAAATTGTTAATGCAAGCAAGAAATTGGGGTTTTTCATTATGGGAGAGAAGTATTAGGTGATTGGATTCTATCATACGATCACAGAAAGGCATTCTGTTATTTTTTTTTTTTTTGGGCGGGGGGGGATGTGGTGGTGTTCTTAGAAGGGTTTTGGGAGGAGGATATTGGTGGACTGAAATAATATGATATTACTTGGAAAGCTGTGGAGGATGCAAACTGCATGTTGAATAGAAAAAATTCCTTTTGTAGAGGCTAAAGGAGAGGCAACAAAGGTGACTGTTTCATGGGATGAATATCAAGAACATTGTAAGGTTTCCCATGTGGTAGACTGAAATAATATGATATTACTTGGAAAGGTGTAGAGGATGCAAACTGCATGTTGAATAGAAAAAATTCCTTTTGTAGAGGCAAAAGGAGAGGCAACAGAGGTGACCGTTTCATGGGATGAATATCAAGGACATTGGAAGGTTGTCCATGTGGTTGGCCAGTTAGTTTCCTTATTTATTCTGTTTTGTTAGTCTAGTGGCCTCTAGGTGTTGAGGGGATTGTGGTGGCTCTTCATGCTGATGATCTGTATTATCCCTTCCTTGGGTTATGCTGAATATTTCTTGCCACATTCTTTTGGCAAGCTCTGGGTTCTCTCTGGGGTGTTGAAAGGTTGGCCATGGTTGTTATTTTGTGGGTTTACTTGTTTTGATGCTTTCAGAGAATTAGTCACAACAGAGTTAAGTCCTAAACTATCTCCAGCTAGGTAATGCCTAGGTGTTTTGGGCTCGCTAGATTAGGCATGGCTTGGGTGATAGGTAACAACTTATATAGAAAACTTGATAATTATAAAATATATATATATTATTGCAAAACAAAGGGTAAAGCATAGAATGAATTACTCTTCTATAAAGAGATATCAAGCATTTCGCTAAGAATCAAGTTTGCTAACAAATAGATGCCAGATAATAGTTGTTAGAAGAACGGAAGAACTATATTGAATCTATCCTAGAGAATTCTGACATTCCAAGTTTAAATCATCATCATCATCCATGCCTTATCCCAATTATATGGGGTCGGCTATACTCCAAGCTTAAATTGAACAAGGCAATTAGGCATGTGTGTTCCCAATATTTTACAATCATAGCCTAACCAGAAAAAACTCAACTCAACTCAACCTTAATCCCAACTATTTGGGGTCGGCTAACCAGAAATACCAGATATAGAAATAAATTTTATATCCATCAAAGAGAAACCTGATTCTCCAAATGTAGGTTCTCACTTTCACATCACATAAGGCTAGATACAAATATTGATGTAGGAAATGTGTAATGTAGCATATGATATCAGAGACTGTATTGTGTCCACTGTTTCAAGAGTTTGCAGGTGCCTTAGTGGAGGTTTTCTGGAAAAGGAAAAAAAAGAAAAAGAAGAAAAGGAAAGTTGAATGAGAAAAATTGGCTGTGATAGGATAGAGTCTGACCATCTTTCCCAACAACAGAGACTGGATGAGGACCTAACATTTGACTCTCTCTCTCTCTCTCTCTCTCTCTCTCTCTCTCTCTCTCTCTCTCTCTCTCTCTCTCTCTCGCTCGCTTGCTCGCTCTCTAATTCCATCCAAAATATTTGTTGCACATGACACCTATTATTATATTAAGGAGCCATTCCATCAAATATGGGGATATAATTCTTTTATATATTTGTTTTTTTTTAAATTAAATACCGTCTCCTAATTACTTAGATCTTTTTGAGTTTAACTAAATATTTTTTTATCCTGGAAAACTTTCACTATATGATTTTTCAATTACTATCTACACATATTTATAAGTGTTTATGCGCTAAAGTATACTCTGGATGTCTCTATAAGGAATCAGGGTGCCATTTTGGGAGCATATCATGTCCAAAAAGGGTATTCTGAGCATATATGGGTATCCAGGTATCATAGGTTATAGGTAGTTATTCTGATAAATTCTTGAAATTGAGATCTCTGAGAATGATATGTGTAGCGGATTTTTTAACTGGAAAATTTTGTAGTACTTTTTTTCGAAATTTACTGTATCAGTTATAAAAATCGTTACCCATAGTAAGAACAGCCTCCTCTTGATGGCCACTGACTGCTGATCTGAACATTCTTTCCAACTGAAAATGTTACCCATATATCACAAGGACACTTCTTGATAGGGAATTTACACTAAAAATCGAAGCATCTGATAAAAATAGCACTTTTATATAGGTATATCAAGGTATCATAGTCTGTATTTTCAGAGTACCCTCCCAAGACCCCAGGTAAATGATATCAGCATTTGGTAATTGCCATGACATCAGTGTTATACAGTAATATGGGACTTATCTTACAATTAAAACCACTAGGTAAGCCAGTTACCCCAATCCCAACCACAATGTGGTTTGCAGAGGTTCCTTCTGTCTGCTTGGTGATATTAGAACTTCCAAGTTCTGGAGATAACCACTTGAGGATCACTATAGGATCATTTTTAGTTAAGCATGTTATTTACCTTTCTTGTTATACTAGGTAAAACCAGATACTCCCAGATAGTGTTTTTTTTTTAAAAAACTAAATGTAAAACCAGATACTCCCTTTATCTTTTTCTGTTTCTCTTGATGGGTGGGAATTTAATCTCCACCTAATTACTTCCCTTTCAACTGCCTTGTAAACCAATAATTTGACACCCTGCATCTTCCCAGTCATCTGCACCAAGTTTTTCCTACTTTATGCTGTAAGATTGGATCTAGTATGCAGCAAATTATTTACATTTGAAAGTGATTAGATATTTCATGCAAAGATTTGTATTTCTGTTTATGATCTGTTCCAACTTTTATTCTTGCCTCTTGAAGGAGATTATTGAAAAACTTAGCAAAGGTGACCTATCAAAGGATGACTACTCATGTATGAATGACCCAAGTCCCACTGTCCACGGCGGAACCCGAGGTGCATCAGTACGGACAACTCAAATTCCAGCTGCTCATTCAATTAGATCAAGGCGGACAGCTACATGGGCCCGTCCCCGTCATTCAGATGATGGGTGTTCAAGGTACTCTTACAATTCTTCTCTTTAAGGTTGCCTTTGTAGTCTGCATTCTTTGTGAATTGCATGCATGATGTGGGGTTGACCATCAGATTGGATAACCCATATCTTTTCCTGCCTATGTATACTATGCTACCCAGAATCCTATAAATGCCAAGTGTACGGTGTACCAGTTTCAGACATGATACTTACTAGATATTGCACAAACACTTCTAGATGTACTCTATAGCATTGGTGTTTTTAGAATATGTAAAATGGTATGTTCTAATAAATTATAGTATAAATTCTGTAGATATTAGAATTTTAATTAAATTTGACAATACATTATTGAGAACTAACATTTAGCTTCAAAAGCTAGATGTAAAAGCATGATCTACGCACATTATATGGGATACCAATACTTGTATCCATGTCCAGGGTTTTAGAAAATAAATAGCCTGTATCCCTGTTCCTTGTGTCCATTTGTTCTTTTGTATCTGGGAATCATAGTATGCGTGTACTTCCTGTATAGATGGTGATGATCATCTAATTGAGTTTGTACTGTGGTTATTCAATTTGTCCACCTTAAAAAACGAGAGGATTTTAATCTTGGCTTTCTCACTGTTTTCACCTCCAATTGAAACAATGAAGTTCCTTGACCGTTGGGTTTTCATATTCTTCTTTCTCTTGCATTGCTACTGTAGTGACTCAGTACTGAAGAATGCATTAAATGATTTCAAAAATATGGGCCAGCGTATCTTTGTATTTATCATAGGTGGAGCTACTAGATCTGAGGTAATAATATTTCAGCAGCAGCTTTTTATTTACAAATTCTACAGTTCGGTTGCATGTGCTGGCACACTGTTCTTATCAAATATCATTTTGTTTGTATTTATCAGTTACGTGTTTGTCACAAGCTCACAACAAAGTTGAAGAGGGAGGTTATTCTAGGCTCTTCTAGCATTGATGATCCACCACAATTTATATCGGTAAGAGCATTCTTCCATTAAATCCATATTTAGTGGAACAGCATCCACCACTAGTGGGCAAAAAATCAGTTGATTTTGTTTCACTGCCACCAGGCACCATGGAGGTTTATCTGAACCAAAATCAGCTTGAAACTTGATCCATCTACACTTCATCAATACATGTTTGAAGTGTGGAATGAAGTTCTATTACAACTCTAAGAATGCTCTGGAAATATATGCATAAATCAGATGGAAAGCCTTCTGATCATACTAATCTTTTGTTTAGATACTATCTTGGGAAGGAATACTCAATATAGGTTACTATCCTCTAAATATGCAAGATATAACAAGGCAGGGGCCCCAGATTGTGACTATGGGTCTCACAGCACTGGACATGAGAGAATTGTTTCTCTATATGTAGAATTAGGCTCTCTGTATTGACAATGCAGGAGAAAAAAAAACTGCCTTGATGTGATTTTCCACACATGGCAGCTGCAGTGGCAGTTCCAGAGGGTTCACAGCATCTCATCCTCTCCACATTTGGTAAATTTTAGCCCAGTAGCTTTCCACCGTGAGAAAGGTTTAACAGGCTGAAATTAGCTCTTTGGGAAAAGGTGGGGTGGAAAAGGACTTGGACCTCAACTTCCAATCCACGTACAGAATATCCATAAGTCTAGCTTAGTTTCTCCAATGAGAAAGAACTCTTGATCTAATAACAGTAAAAAAAGAGATCAAGCTATTGCCAACTTCTGATGTCTTTGCATCCAAACTGCAGAAACTAAAGATGTTGACAACAAAAGAACTTTCAGTGGATGATATTCGAATCTAAATTTGTGGATGCCTTGGGATGCTTGAGGCACACTTATGCTTTTAATGCCATCTGGCTGGCTTTCGCATCTTAATCATGGATACCATAGATCCACATTGCTTCTCCCATATCCTTTTTCTTTTCTTTTTCTCAGTATTGGGCAAATTTTTGGTTGAAAAATAGCTTGCTTGAAGCACAAGGTAGGAGCCAGAGTTGAGAGGACAGAATTGACTGTTCGGTCTGGCATTTTTCTTAATGGTGTTCCCACCCTTGGTGTTGTAATTGATAGGCTGAAAGCCACTGAATGATTCATATTGTATATAATGTCTTGCCATATGATGTACAAGCATAATTGGCTGCATGATATTGTACATGTATCCTGGAAGGTACAAGTATTAGGCACCTTGTGAGTATGGTTATTTATTTATTTTTTAAACTTGTTGCAAAGGGAATTGGCCAGATATAATTTGTTTATTTATTCAAAAGGAATATAATGAGAATCTCCTTTACTCGGTTTGAGGTATGTCCTTAATCCTTCCCGTTTATGACATTCATGGTTGAGTAGACAACTATGAATTATGTTGAGAGGAAACACCAATGTAGCTTAGAATTTTTGAAAACATGAGAGGTATGGCCTTATTATCCACCGTGGGCTTCATGTTGACCTTGTTACCTCCAAAAAGGATCCAGAGTTTTCACTTCCATGAATTTATGTTGGCAAAATCAGAAAAATCAGAAAGGCACTGTTTCTTCATTGTCTCATTTTATACTTTCTTTTTTCATTCCTTCTACTGGGAAACACAAATCAATTTCGTGGTTGTGCCATCAACCACATCGTTTCAGTAGTAGGAGCTCTTTCATGGGAACTCTGATCTAGGTTCTTAGATCAATTAGGTTAACTTCTCTAATATTAGACCAATCATGATATACTATGTCAGATCCTATGTGTCAGGTTGACCTAGGGGAGGAGAGGGGGGGGGGGGCATTCTTGTTTCATTTGGTCTACAAGCACAGCCTTATGCTATTTCTAATATGGCTTTTTTCTTAATACAAGCAACTAAGAAACATTGTCCACTAATGTAAGTATGATATGGCAGTTATAAGGTGTCTCATGCACCAGTAAACATGATTTACTGATGTTTCTATTTAACGATGAATCGATGATTGTACAATTAAAAGTAAATAGTGAAAGTACTTGTACAGATAGATCATACCATATTCGAATTGGCCTAGATGGGTAGCGAGCCAGAGTTCCTACCGAACCACCATAAACAAAACACCCTCTTTTGCATTGTTTGGCTCCAAAGAAAAAATTATCACTTCCAAAAAATGAGTATACGATCCTAGTGTACCATGGCCTAGTATCCTCCACTTCCCATATCTAGATGAATAGCGAGGGAGGTGGTTGTAGACAGGGGTGGAGCCAATTATCTTAGTGGGGGGTCTTTGCCCCTCCCCCCCAAAGGATAATAAATAAATAAATATACACTTTCTTTAAACAAAATTGTAATAGACCCAAACCTTGTCAGATCATTTTTCCCTTAAACCCTACTACTCCCTATCTCCCCTACCTCACTTTTTTGTTTAACACTTTAATTCCTGCCCGCCCCTCCCCAAAAAAAAAGGAAAGCAAAATTTCTGTAGTGTGGTTTCAAGGCTCTATGTTCAAAAACGGGGAAAAAGGAGAACAGCAATTTAGCCAAAATTCATTTTAAATAGGATTAATTCAGTGAATTTTCCATTGGAGCAATAAGTGGACTTGCATTTAGTCCTTTTTGGTAATTAAGTGGCATTTTATTACTATTAATTGCATATTTCAATCTGTTAACAATCCCTCGTTTTCATCAAGAAACTAAATCAATAAATTAGTAAAATCATATCAATATAGATCTGGGCAATACTCAGGTTTGTTTCTCACAAATTTGATTATGGGTGAATTTTATGAAATCCAAATGTATTTTATAGGGATGAATCACAGAATCCCTCTCAAAGTTACAGGTTCTTGTCCTTTATCTGGCCTTGGAAATGGAATTCTATATTTACACGAATAATTATAAATCAAATAATTAAAAATATTGAAACGGTGGCAGTGGCATAAGACAAACAACTGTCTGATGTTGCTTTATTTATATAACTAGTGAATGACCCCGTACTAAGTACGAGGAATCAATAATGTTAAAATTACATTATGGAATCAATGTTGTTAAATTTATATTTATTAATATTTTAAATAATTATTAAAATTTTAAGAAATATTTATTTCAGAAAATAGTTTTTCAACAATTATTAGAATATGGATAGTTGTCTTTTGTTATGATACGTAGAGGGTTAACTGAGATTGATAGAATGTAGGCAGAAGTGATTGTGGATAACTACTTTTGCATTTTATGCACTTTTTTAGGGATGTATTGAAAATTGTGGTAGTGGGTTGTGGGCTTTAGCAGGAATTTCTCAAAAATTGTCATACGTCTAGCTTTCTAGAAAATGAGAAAGCCATTTATCTGGATGGTGGTAGTGGGCTGTGTGGGCTTTAACAACAACTTCTCAGAAAACGTCATGTGTCTAAATTTGAAAAAACCACGTGTTTGAATGTGGGGGACTGTAGTTTGCAAGCCTTCCTTTAATATATATATATAGAATTGGATGGTAGGAAACCGCTCTCCACTGGCCCAGACGATCTACCCACGTTTGGCCTATTACATTCACACTAATTAATCTAGGGTCTGTTTAGTTTTATTACCATTTATTAGAGAAATGTTTTATGTGGGTTTTTTTTTTGAAAATTGAGGCAAAATGTTTCTCCCTAAAAATCTAGGACAAATGACAGCTCAGCACCACTAGAGGTGCAATCAAGTCGAGCCAAGCTGAGTCGAATTTTTATATGACTTAGCTTGATTCAACTAAAATATTGTTAAGCTCAGATTCAAGTTTGAACTCGATTTGAGCTCTATTTCCTCTTGACTTTCTAAGCTTGATTTGATTAGCTCGAATTGATTCATTCTTATATTACTTATAGAAGGGATTTTTACAATATAAATGATAAGGTTTGGCAAATTAACAATTTTAGTAACCTTTTGAAAATAAAGGTGAAATCAATAAAAAAGACAAAAAAGGTAAGTTTTATTGGACAAAACTGCCCTTACATCCTAGCTACCTCACCTACATTTCTTCTTTGCTTTAGAGAAATATCTGCTCAAAACTAGGAGAAAGTTCAGAAAATACCAAGAGTGATCATGAAAAACCGAAAAACCAAACTTAATCAATGAGATCGAATTCGGTTTGGTGTTTCCAAAAATCCGAAAGTACCAATTCAGTTTTGGTTAACCAATATTATATATATTTTTCATATATATATTATATTATTTATATATTATAAATGCATTATGTATTATAAATACATATTTATAATACATAATATTTTATTTATTATATATAAAATTATGAAAATCAAAAACCCAAAAACTGACGAACTGAATTAGCGATTAACTGAACTTATCAATCAATTAACCGATCAGCTTCAATTCGATTTTGGTTACCGGTTTTCTAAGTACCAGTCTACTGGTATGGTTTAGACAAAAGGCCCACAGTTCGGCTAACCAAATTGTGAGCACCCTTAGAAAATACATTCGGCCTTTCGGTTAATCCAAGCATCTTGCATTGGTTGGATTTTTTTGGATAATTTTTGTATTATCCAAACTGGAGATAACTATTAAAGAGTTGCAGTTTAAAAAATTATCCAAACTAGAGATAACTATTAAAGAGTTGTTGTTTTTCGTAGTTCAAATCAGGTAGGCACGTTGTTGTAAGCATGTTAAATGAGCACTTTCAAATTATTTTTTGACATCTATCCCTTGAAATACCCCTAACCTACCCTTGAAAAAGATTAAAGACAACTTTTAACAGTTGTCAGAATATTTATAAAGTGCTCAATGAATGTGCTTCCTATGTTGTGCCTACTGGATCCGGTCTCCTCCATTGAATGATGATGTGGTTGAGAGATTTGTCTCCTTTATAAGTTGCTTTCACATATTACAAAGTTGTAAGGCATAAAGTTATAAGTGCGTCAAAACCATTATGTTACCCATTGGTTTCATTTATCTAAGTTTCTTTAGCGGAATTTCATAACTTTTGTTTCATTAAGACTGATTTACAAGTTTTATAAGGTATGTGTTTAGTATAGCTTCTGTTTATTAAGGGGCCGTTTGGCAAGCCATTTTGGGAAGATCTTCTGGTAGCTCTGACAATTAAAAGATGCATTGAGTTTTTGCATTAAGATTTGAGCAGCTTGAAGCTTGTTTGGTTAAGGCGTGTCTTTCCATGCAAAGACGAATAGAAAAAAAAACGCAAAAGCTCCATTTGGAGCTTCTCGAAAATCACCCTCTTCAGGCGACTAGATCTATCGTGAACCAAACGGGAAAAGACCGAATCACAGTCTGTCGAGCTTGTAAATAGTTGACAGACCGCATGAAAAGACGTGCCAAATTAGGCCTAAATAAACATGTATACTTGATTTGTCTTCAAAATTGAGAAAAGTACTTAATAAACCATTTATTGACAACTAGGTGCCACATTAATGAAGCTTCCCTCAACGGTTGGAAAACACATAAATCAAAACCCACTTTTATGAATATCAAAGCATACATGATGGACATTATGAGAAAAATGTTGATATGGTGATAACATGGTGGCATTTTGATAAACGCCTATCACAAAATGTCCACGGAACAAAACACACACCTTTCTGAAATAACCTCTGCTTCATTTGATAACTTCTTGAAATCTATTTTAACCAGAAGCATTGATGCAGGCTTCTCCGAAGTTTCTCAATGCTTCTCCTATCATTTCTTTGCATAACCCACCTTAGAAATTTAGAACCTAACAGTGAATATTAGTCTATTTTTCTTCATCTTCGAGTCGCATGAGTGATGGGTCACAATTAGAAGCACCCGTCAATTTGAAATTAGAATCATATGACCATAGAAGAAGAACGAGTTTACGAGAGTGGAATGAATCAGAAATTCAGAATCATACGGTCATGGATGGTTGCAAGTTGCAACTTTGATGACAAAAGTTAAACTCTACAATAGAAAATAAATAAAATAAAATAGAGAAGAAAAATGGAAATGAAAGAGTGGGATGAAAAAGAAAAAGAAATGAGAGAGGGAGATAAAAAATATATTGTTTGAACAATAAGTTTTACCATTGGATAAGAAGAAGATAAGCTCAAGGGGTTATTGATGGTTGTTGGTGAAAACAATTAGATAGTTCTGCATGGGAAACTTTAGGACCTGTTTGGCAATGTTCTGTGGGAGTGTTTCTCTTGTTCCCAGTGCTCCCGTGGAACATAAACATGTTTGGCAAAAAAAATGCAAGAAACAAGTCATCCCAAAGTGAGAACAATGCCCCAAAAACATGTCCTTTGGGAGTGACAAATCGACACTACCAGAGAACACGTTCTCAAGGAACATGCAG